TATGTATGTATGTATGTATGTATGTATGTAACGCTTTCACGACCCTTTTGTACTTATGTAGCAGGATAAATATAACAACATTTATGGCTAACAAACTCCCGAGGGTAACAGCTATGATTGTGGAAGTTCTGTCTTGTGTTATTGTGGTTTTATTGGCAACATTTCTGTTGTGCCCGGCAGTTCCGTTGCAACCGAATTTCTCGTCTGGCAAGGTGTAGATAGCTTTTACTTGTTCGGTATTATCCGACTCACAAAGAACATTTTCGATCTGTTCAACTTGTTGCCTGTGGTTGAGTCTCTGCAGCCAGTTCTTCATCCACCTTGTGTTACAACTGCACTTGAAAACATTATCATGCAATGCAAGATTTGTGAAAAGAAGGTTCTCGATATTTCTTGGCAAGCTTGTCAAGTTGTTTGAGTCCACATGTAGAATTCTTATCCGTTTTAAGTTGTTCACCATCATAGGATTTAATTCTTGGATCTTGTTGCGCGTCAAATACAAAGCCAAAAGGTTTTTCATGTAAGGATACACTGGTATGTCCCGGATGTTATTGTCTCTTAAGTTCAATCATGGTACTGCGTGACAATATTCTGGGTACTTCGGTGAGGTTTCTTCCCTCGCAATCGATGAGGATAGTTTGATCCAAACAACGCTCAAAACAAGAACATTCAACAGGACAAAACTTTGGCCTCTTTTGTGCAATTACGTAATTCTCATTAATTTCCAGGATGTTTTGGTCCCTCAGTTCTTCAGGCCAGGCACATTTCCACGTTTTAAACAGTGATTTCCAGGCGTGGTTGCTTTTTAAGAGCGTTTCTATCTTTTGTTTGATGCCTAATATACCGCAATCGCAGATTAAAAGATTCCCTGCCAAATCGATCTCGTATATTTCCAGAAAACGAGTAATTCTCCATTGTTTAACTTCACTTAAGCCTTGAATGTCCAACGTAGTGAAATTGTTATTTGATAAATTGAGCAGTTTGGACCCAGAGTCTTCAAAAGAAAAGTTAGCTATAAATGATTCTTCACTTAAACTTTCGACAACATCCAGAAGATCTTCGAAAGTCAACAAATTGTGGGAGAGATCAATGTTCGACACATTCCTTAGGCGAAATATTACAGAGGGAACATCGCTGAGATTGTTGCTTTGAAGGTAAATCTCCTGCACAACAGAATCATTTGAGAAAACGCCTTCGTCAAGTTTTGCAATTTTGTTACCCTCTAAGTTCACAACCTCGAGTGTGTCTAATCCGTGAAATAATCCACTAGGAATACTTCTGATGTTGTTATGATCTAAGGTAATCTTCTTGATATTTTTTAAGCCCTTTTAAAATATTTCCGGCGGGACGACTGACATGTTATTGTCTCCAAGTCGAATTTCTAGCAACGAGTTCAACCCTGCTGGAATTTTTTCGAGCGAGAGATTTGACAATGTAATTTCTGCCAATCTCGGCCACACATTTTCGGCGATAGAAAGTGTGTCCAATATTCCTTGCGGGGTACTACTGTCAAATTCAATGGCTTTCAGTGTTTGTACGCCGCTTTTTAAAGTTCCTTTCTCGTTTACAAGTTTTGGGGTTTGACGATTAATATCTGCTCCAAACTCAACTCTAAGAAAATCAGTCGCATTTGACCAAACAGCAAGACTTTGCACCGAGACGATGCACGGCCCAGCGAATGTCAAATTTGACAGAACATTTTTGTTTATCAAGGTATGCAAATTCGTAAAACATAGCTCTATCGGTGAGTTGCACTCTATCTCAATATCTAGATAAGACAAAGTGTCATTTGGAACTCTTGGCTGCAACACAGAGGCAATGTCAAAGTGGTATTTAACTGGTAGTTTTTCACTTTTAATTTCGCAATTCACCTTGTAAAAAGAAGAGCTGACTTTGCTGTGACATTGCATGTTTTCTTCAGAATTTTCCCTCTGGTCGTGGCCCTTCGAGGCCATTGTTAACAGCAGACAGACCAAAGTCTTTAACATGTCCTCGACGCGCGACATACACATCGTTAACAGAGGAAACCACGTGTGCAATTGCAACAGGTCTGATCAAAACTGCAAGTGTTAGAGATATGCAATTAAAAATCGATGCCTTCGTTAATCTACAAAAGTGGTAAACGCCGACAAGGAATTGGACGAAGAGAAATTTGCTCACCTGAAATCAGGGTTTCGCCCTTCAGATTTGCTGGATTTCGTTGTTAAAACTGTAAAACTCGGGAACGAAATGCTACTCCAGTTCCTCGATTGCTTGACCTATTTTATAAGTGAACAGGCAACGAGATATATTTAGATAATTGGGTCACTGTCTAAAAACGCGGTAATAGCTGTATTGTATAGGGAAGATATTTGTGTTTCAAATTTCCTGGCAATGAAACAAAAACACTCTTTGTTTCAACCGCCAATAACACTCTGCTTGGCACACTGATAACAGTAGGTGACGTAACCGATATGTTCACTGTTGGTTCTTTATGCATTCATGCTATTAACAAAAGCTGCTTGTCGCCTTATCAAGATAATCCGTGAATAGAGATTATTAATTTGATTAAATGCAAATCATCATAGCGTCACGGCACTAGAAGACAGTATCTCTCCAGCCCTCACTCCCATCCTCACCTTCCCTGCTACAGGGTCTCGCAGCTCCAGGTATAAACTGTCACGGACTGAGTGCAATTTAGTTGACTTCAGGTTAAAATGTTTGCCCGGCGAGAGGTTTATTTAAGGGTCAGGTTTGTTTAATTGTGTTCTCTCTCAGTTGCTAGGATTTTAAACTGCCCACAGAAAATAGCAGTTTTCCTTGACCTCTTCCGGATTAAATCATTTTGTCGTAAACAACATGGAACAAAATGAAGATATGATTAATCATTGCAGTTATACTCACAGTTTAAGCATTGTGAGATTAAAGCCTGAAAAAGTAGCTATGCGAGTAGCTATGAGTATAACCGGTAACCGCGAGCTAAACAGAATAGGGCCCAATATGTTTATATTTAGCGCTAAAACGTAATTTTGGGACTTCTCGGAAAATCATGTGCTTACATCAGGCCATGTCTACGTGCGAACATGCCACGTAACACGTGACTTTACCCGGAAGACGTTTAAAACACGTAGGATCATTCAATCGCGTGACTTCACTTGGGTCTGGAAAATATCGACAGTGACGCAAACGCAAAAAAGGAAAAAAAAAAAGAAAAAAGCCTGACCGTGATATTTTTTGTCACCAGTGTGAACAACACAACATAGCAACACAGCAAGAACATAACAATACTTTAATAATAACCTTCTGTATCTGACATACTTGGTATAGATGAATATCCCCAAATGCGCAAATGTAGATAAATAGGAATGACATATTGAAGCACATTAATAAGCACAATGACATAAGACCTCCTTTTTGGTCGCGGTTTGTTTCTCGATATTGTGAACCGCGCTTTGCAAACCAAACCACATGGAAAGCCGAACCACATGGGCACAGTACAGCTTCGCTTTATGTAAAGCATCAATTCCCACACATACATTTTCCTGAAAAAAACAGAGAATTGACGTAGAGGGAGTTGGCAGTGGGAGACTTAACAATTATTTTATTCATGAAAGAACGAACGAACGAATGTACGAAAGCAAGAATGAACGAAAGTAAGAAAGAACAAATGAATGACTCGCTGAATAAATAAATAAATAAATAAATAAATAAATAAATAAATGAATAACGACACACGCACGTTGTAATTGGTTGAAAGCCATGTAAATGCCATAAAAAGGACAACCCATGCTTTGATTGATTAGATCGGGTTATGTAAGCTCAGGTAACAATTTTTAGGCCGAAGAACGACCGAGTTTAGAATATTGAGCAAAGTGCTTCAAAGTACGTGAGATGCTAGTTCCTGATAACAAGTGCGGACATCAGATGTCACTGACTGCTCTGTTGGACACAATATGACGACGTACTTAAAAGTACTGCTACTATAATACTGTAGGCTTTGTTCGGGTTAACTACCTGTAGGGCTGCGTAATGCTGCATATGAACTCCGTGGTGGGCCTCGGAGGAACATTAAACCTTTGAAAAGACTAAGAAATAGCCAATTCCAACTCCCTTTTTGGCCTCATGTTGTGTTTGTTTATTTCCATCATTTCAGGGTTAGGGAAAGGTGTCTTGGTAGCAACATCTGAAAAAAACTATCATGGCGTTTCATGTCACAAGTTATGTCGTGGTTTTCGAAACCATAAATTTTCGTTATTACAACCAAAACACACCTTTAAGGACGGTGCCTACTAAATACAAAGGTTTTTGCGCCAGGTTAGGACCTTGCGGAAAAAGTAGATCTTTGCAAGGGCTATCGG